AGCCCACCATCTAAGGCCAGTCGACGACGACGACGACGACGATGATGAGTGTGGAGACCTGCGCCCACGCCCCACGCCCACGCCCACGCGTCTCTCGTCCCAGCGAGAGACAAAGGCAATCAGAATTCATTAGCCGAGCGACGACAAATAAACCAAAGGCCTATAAATTTATGTATATATATACGCAAGTAAATATTTGTATATATGTGTGTGTATGTGTATGTGTGCTTTGCCCAGAGCCACATAAAAGGCGACAGAACCGCACATCCTGTGCCAGGAAGCAGCCGGCTGAAATTACAAAAGTCAACCAACCCCCAAAAGGCACATAAAAACGCTTGAAAAGCGTATGCTCAGACTGGATGGGGCAGGAGTGGGGGCGTGGCCGGGGTTATTTCAACAACTTGGAGAGCCCCCAGACCAGACCCAACAGCAGCCGAGCATCCAAGCATCCGACCATCCAACCATTCGAGGCGAGGCAGAGGCTTTTGAAAAATTGCAAATTGAATTAAGCCAAAGTTAAATGGCTAAATGACTCGAGAGCCAAGTAGCCCAGAATGGAGGCTGGATTGGGTTGGTATTCAGCCATGGCTGGTTGCCACCAGCCGATCCCTGTGGACGGGGGTTGGCATATGGGGGTTGCGGTTAGGCGCATGATAGCAGCTAATATGCTGAGAAGGATAAACGCACGCCGAGGCAGTTTACAGTGGTAATAAACAATTTATATTTAATATTATATATGTATGTAGTAATAATTTTGTATGATATTTTTTAAATTATAGATATCTTTAAAAGAATCAAATTATCTTTAAATTTTATTTGTATCTATAATTTAAATTTAGAATTTTTATATAATTTTTAATTTTAAAATTTTGTATTATTTATAATTTAAATGTAGACCTTATCTAATGTTTGTGTTTTACTTGGTTTATTATTAATACATTTCAATCTAGACTATATATATTTATTTGTTCGATTTTTTTATTTTTATTTCTTTGGTTTTTTTGTTTTGTTTTTTTTTTTTTTTTTTTTTGGATAAACATTATTAAATATTTAAAATAAATAATTTGTTTTAGATTATCTTAAAATATTTGTAATTATATATACTCTTTATTTAATGTATTATAGTTATTTATTTATTTATTTATTTATTTTATTTATTTTAAAGATTACTACATATTTCAAATTTTCAAATATTAAGATTTAAAAAAAAAATAATAATAAATTGTTTAAGAAAAATTTTCTTTTCTCAATACTACCTAATTAAATTTTCAAAAACTCGTGCATTGCCCCACTGTATCGTTGTTGCGCCACAGCCAAAAATTCGAAGAGCCACAAAGCCAACAACTGAGCTCTGCTCCCCCTGGTGCGCTTGGGCCTGAGTGTTAGTGTTATTTACCAGGCTAAATTATTAAACGATTGTTAAACGAGCGGATAAAGGATGAGCGTGAATGATGATGATGATGATGCTGCTGCTGCTGATGGTGCGCGAGGGGGCTGCCGGGTAGGGCAGGACTCGGGCAGGACTCAGGGCGGGCCATAGAAATGCTCCGTTTGGATTGTTGGTAGAGCAGCAGCGCAGGGGAAATTTGATATTAGGTAAATTTATTTGATTTACATTTTTATAGGGTTGCTTGGCATGGAATGGAACGTAATGGAATGGGCGGATAGGGTGAGGGGCGAGGGGCGAGGGGCCAGGATCTGGTCTGTTGTTTGCGAACGTCGTTCTCATCATCATCGTCGACGTCGTCGTCGTCGTCGTCGTCGTCGTTGTCGTCCTGCGCTTATCGCATTAAATGCCGGCAATGAAGATAAGAACTTGTCTAGCAGGGAGCTGGCAGGCGAACGGGCATAGAATAAATACAAAATAAATTAATAAAATGGCCGCGTGAAAAGAAATCATAACGAGTTTGGACGTGCGTCGGGTGCTGCACGCCGTGTAGGCAATTATGCGAGCAAAGTGGCAGAAGAGGAGCTGGAGAAGCTTCTGGCCGAATGCCAATTTCAATGCAAGCCATGATTGACGGGACTTTTGGCCGGCCAATACCAGCGGGCGACCTTGTATTAGGCACAACTCCCACTAAAACCCAAGCCCACCCCACCGCCCATCGAACAGCTCCCATCGAAGCCCGTAAAGCAATCAGCGCCAAATCAGAAGTTTATTTATTTGTTTGTTGTTTGGCAAACATTTACGCCATCAGCAAAACGACACCCGAGAGCTCGTTAAATGCGCAGTCATGCGGATGTAATTCAATAAACGAGCGCGCCATCATCAGAGTCCCACTGGCACTCCCTTTCCCTCTCCCTCTCCCTCTCCCGCTGCCGTTGCCATTGCCATTGCTGCCATCCCTGTCCTCGTCCTGGCCCAACCGTTTAGCTGGCTATATACGACTCGTCTACTCGTACACGAGAGCCAGCCGCAATTGCCACAACAGCCGCTGTGACTAAATGACTGACTGACAACCGCATTGCGTTTGTATGTATGAACATGTATATAAATCTGGCTGTATATGTGTGTTTGTGTGTGTGTGTGTGTGCTGTGGGGGTTGGTTTATTTACTTGGCAGGGTAAACCACCCCATGGCAATGCATGCAGCTACCTCATCGACCCCTAGCCTTGGCTCAATAACGTTTATTGACTAAAATTTCGCACCAGCATCGACTGCCAGCCCCCGCACGAAAAATCTCAACTGTCAACACATCAAATGCGATGGAGGGGAGGAGGAGGGGGAGGGAATGTCAAGCGATGCGGGGGTGTTAACGTTTTTAGCATGTTTAAGCGATTTAACGCATCGCAGGGATAATGAAATTTTGATTATGTGCCGCTTGGCTGCCTCTGTTAGCCAAAAACGAAGCGTATTTAGCGCTGTCAGTGTCGAGTGTCAGCTCCATCAGGTACTTCACCTTAGCCAGCTACTAATTAGCGTAGTTAGTTAAGGCCGTCATATGTACATAGTAGATCATGAGTTAATAATAATGTATATAGTAATCATATCATACAGTTTAGTTCCTTAATAAGTATAACATTTTAGTCACAGATTAATTAGCCCTAATCTGATACCCCCAATCAACACTAGAATAGATTAATTGTCAGATAAAACATAAAAATATAAATAAGTAGATGATGATGTAGTTTCAGTATTCAAATTCAACGAAAATGACTTTATTAAATATTTAAGTTTAAAATATTTAATTTTTTGTTTTAAAAATATATATAGTATAATATTATACAATACTGTTTTCGTTTCGGCATTTAACTTGATTAAATGTAAAATAATAAATATAAATATAAAATAATAAATATAAATATATACATATTCAAAATTTATATTTTAATATAAATATTTTTAATATTTAAAATTTTCATTGAAAATAAATTTGTTTATTCGCTGCGCTAAGGTCATAAATAAAATATGTATGTATATATAATTTATGACTCAAGTAAATAACGCTATTATAAATTTTTTTGATTGAGCTAATAGCTTTAATTCTATATATATTTATTTTTTACTACTGTTTAAACGCAAAGACAAAAATTCTCTTTCATAATCGTGTTAAAAAAGAAAATATAATAAAAATTGAAACAATTTAAATTTGATGTGAATTCCAAATTGCAGAACTTTCGTATAATGCCCAGCGAAGGCAAATGTTAATCAGGCAATTACGCAATTTAATTATGAATTAATTGCGCCATTAAAATAACAATCTTTATTGACGACGCGTCGACGCTGCTGCTGCTGCGGCTGCTGCGACTGCTGCGGCTGCTGCGGCTATTTGAAAAGCTAACTGCCCACATAAATGTGCAACCCCCACACACACACGCACGCACACACACGCGCACAGCAAATTGCAATTGGATCTCCGCCTGCTGCTTCTCCGCCCCTCAGCCGCTGAGCCTTTGGCTAAGTGGGTGCGCGGCTAACAAAATCAAACACAAATAGCAGCCAACCAAACAAGCTACAAAACTGAAGGAAAAAATTATAAAAATTATGAAAAACTATCAAAACATTTACATGCGGCGGCATCGCGCGGCCAACGCTACGGCCATTTATCAACTGACCAAGTTGTTGTTGTTGTTGTTGTTGTTGGTGTGTTTGGTGCTGTATCTGGCCGACTGGCAGTCGTTCTGCGCTGCCGGTCTCTTTTCATCTTTGGCCGGCAAAGAAAAAGCTTTGAGTGCGTTGAATGCGATTGGAGGCGTCGAGTCAAGGCATGGGCGCGCGGGGGTGTCGAGGGGCAGGACGGTCCGGTGTAGCGTAGAGCGTAGAGCTCGGTCGGCCCATAAGTAGTATATGATTATGATGTTTATTGAAATATTAATTTGCGCCTCGCTTTGGCTGCGGGTCTCATTTGCGTATTTCAAAGAGCGCTATGAATAATGATGAAGATTATAAAAACTCTTGACGCGTTTCGTCTGAGAAATTAATATTTGTAATTGGCTATAATTGTTCGTGCCAACGGCCAACTACACAGAGAGACGATTGCACGAACCGCCTTATTAATGATGCCTCGCACTTGCCTCTTGTTATTTCAATAGTTTTAATTGAAAAGAAAGCGCTCTTCTTGCCTCTTAATGAAGCGCCTAACGGACAATGGAAAAATGCCTTAATCAGCCAGCAGAGGGTGCTGGGAAATCTTTCGCCCACGGAATGCGCTCGGCAATTGGATAGAGTTCAAAATTTAGATAAGTATTGAAATGTTTGAATATTCATTTCAAGATTCTTGTGAAACATCAAAATGCCTGGAATTATACTATAGAGTAAGCTATTTCAGAATTATTTATGCAGCACGTGTCCGGCTATAGCAAATATCGAGAACTGTGACAAATTTTTGTGATTTGAAATATTTTTAGCTTCGTATTTCTTTTTATACTCATTCATTTTTTCTTTCACCCAGTAGTCAAATATTTGAAATTCTTTAATATATATATTAAATAATATCAAATATATTTATTTATAAAATGAAACAATATAATATAAAAAAAAATAAATAAATTAGTAAAAATACATTATTTTATTTTTTATTCATATGAAATTTTTATATGTATATAATAAATATTTTTCTGTGTATAACGAATATCTGAATATCCCACAAACAGACTTTCATGCTCCATCGGCAATTAAGCATGAATATTGCGAATGGAAGGATTTTTCTGCTGAACTTGTTTATTAAGCTGCTCTAATTAAGTTTATTATGCGCCAACAGCAGCTTCATTAAATATACTTACGAGCCAACAAACTGCCAACTTTCGCCCGTCATTAAGCAGCCGAAAGCAACCCTACTGGATCCCAGCGAGAGAGCGTGGCAACAATGGCCGGGCAAAACTTGGGAGCCAACAATTTTCGCATAATAATCCTTAAAATGAGTTTAATTTGTAAAGTAAAATTATAACCAGAGACAGACAGGACAGGGACAGAGACAGAGACAGAGACAGAGACAGAGAGAGAGAGAGAGAGGCTGAGAAGGACACAAACTTAAAAGGGAGAGCAAGCGAGCTGGCGATGCGAATGGCATTGAGAGCGAGCAGGACAGGAAGAGGACTGCCTTTTGTGCCATTTATAAAGTATATACATACATACATATATATAATGAACCCCAAAGTTTGGCTTATCCTGGGCATCCCTTTGTTGTCGCTTATTGGAGTAGACGGCGGGCGGTGCTCGGGGGCGGAAGATTTGTTGTTTATTTCGGGATGCTGCATATTTCAGATTTACGTGTGATTGATTTGCCATGCTGGCTAGTCGATTTATGCGTAACGATAAGAATTTTATGGTTTATCTTTGAGGTGTGCGCCATAGGCATAAACTCTGCTTCGTTTTGTGCCGTTTCGTTTCTTCGATTACTTTTCTTTTTCTTTTCTGTGGGGCAGGATTCTTTTCGGCATAAAAAACATAATTTCCTGGTAGAGATTGCAGCTTTGTGATAAGATGCCGACGTCAATGAATTCGCTTTTCATCATAATGATGGGCTTATTGTTTATTATTTATGCGTTGGCCCTCAGTTGGTAACGCTGAGCTATGGCAGCATTGCACATACGCCAAGTGCGCCCGCTTGGAGCACCAATTAAATTTTCCCTTTGCTCCAAAGACGGAAAAACTGGCAACGGCCGCAGCCACGGCTCCAAAACGTAAGCAGACAGCGCGACGACGCGGCCGCCAATTACGTTGACAGCAGAATTTAATAAGAAACGGCAGAGCGGCAGGCAAATGAAGTCATGAATGTGGAGGCTGTGACGTGTCAGAGCGAGATGGCGCTTCACAGGGGAGGGATGGAGAGAGAGAGAGAGAGCGAGAGCAACAGCAAAAAAAAATTCAAAAGTCGAAACGAACGAGCGACGGCTGCGACGGTTGCGGCAGCAGCGGCTGCTTGTTATAAAATGCTAATACGCGCAGCAAAAACGCTTTGAAGATTGAATTATTCAATAATAATTAGGCGTGCGAGCGGGACAGCGCGTAAGGCAAGCAGCGACGAACAATGCTGCCGTCTCGCTTGCGCGTCCAACACAAAACTCACCACACTGGAATGAACAGCGGCAGAAAAGAAGGCGGCGCAAGAAATACAACAAAAGGCAAATAAGAACAACAAAAAATTGAATAGAGCGCTGTGAGAGAGAGCATAACCGAAACAGTCAGGCCAATAAAAATGGTGTCGCTGCATTCGCTTGGGCAGTGCGTGCAAGCGAGAGAGCAACAGGGCTGCGGCAGGCCGGTTTATCAGCCACCACCACCAGCAGCAGCAGCAGCACTAACACCACTACGACGGCAGCAACGGGCAGGTTTCCCATATGTGGTTGTGTGCAAGCGTGTGAGTGTGTGTGTTTGTTGAAGCAGCAGTAGCAGCAGCAACAGCAGAGCTGTCGCTGCGCCGCCGTCTACGTTCAGTTGTAGAACAGACGTGATCTCAAGAGGACGTGTTTCTCTCGAGTCTCAGAGCCGCCGTGAATTAAACGCCACATACTACAGCAAATGAGCAAGCCGCGTGCGTGCGTGTGCATCTGTGCGTGTGTGTGTGTGCGTGTGTATTAGTGAGTGTTTGTGATGAACGAGCGAATTAATTAAAAGATAATCACAACAAATTAACGACACATATATTTTCTACTGAGCGACCCGTCAAGTGCCAATTTGAACTCGCGCGCACCTCTCTCGCCAGTGCAATGTTTTAATCAAAGCAACACCAATAACAACAAATATCCATAACAAGAACAACAACAGCAACAATTACAATCGACACTCAATCAAATTTGAAAGAGATCGCCCAGTGAATCCAGTAGCAGTAGCGAATCGCTGGCTTTATGTTAAAGCTGTCCAACAACACGACAAACGTGAACGCATCGAGCGCAGCAACGACCAGGAACACGAACAGGAACAGGAGCATGACAGTGACTGGTCTACGCCAAACGATGACCAGCCCGACGGTGCCGCCAACCACAACGCTCAGCAGCTCCGGCAGTAGCAGCACCACCAGCCTGAGCAACACGCTGACTAACGCCGTCGCCGTTGCCGCCGCCGGCACTGGTGCACTGCATCCGCTGGCCAGTCCTACATCGCCGTCGGCCCTGCTGCTGGCCCATCAGCAGCATCTGCTGGCCCAGCACCAACAGCAGCAGCAGCAACAGCAGCAACAACAACAGCAGCAACAGCAGCAGCAGCAACAACAGGCACTGCAATTGGCTGCAGTGCATCCGGCGCCACATCATCTGCACAAGAGCAGCTCCAGGCTGAGCAACTTCAGCGTGGCCTCGCTGCTGGCGGACACCCGGCCTCGCACGCCCAACACCAGCGATGGACCAACGAATCTGTCCAGCTCAGCAGCCACATCGCCCATCTCTCAGAGCAGCGCTGCGGGCACACCGCCGCCAGCAGCTCCGCCTGCAGTGCCGCCCACGCATGCATTTCATCCCGCCGCTGTTGCGCACCACGCCCACTTGCTGCATGCCGCCCACGCGGCGGCAGCAGCGCACGCCCAGCAGCAACAGCATCAGCAGCAACAGCAGCAGCTGGCCATGGCGCAACTGCGTCAGGCTCAGGCTGATGCACGCGCCAGCTCTCCGCCCGCTTCAGCCTCCGCCAGCTCCACGCCCAGCTCGACGCCCGTGACACACGCGGGCGGCATCAGCTCCACACCTGCCAAGAACGAAAGACACTCGCCGCTGGGCGGCAGCAGCCATACGGACTCGGAGCTGGAGTACGACGAGGACATGCTGCACGAGCACGATGTGGACCACGATGAGGAGGAGGACTCCATTGTGGACATTGAGGACATGAATGCCGACGACTCGCCGCGCTCCACGCCCGACGGCCTCGACAGCAGCAGCAAATCCCTCGAAGGCTCGCACGGCGGACCGCCCGGCTCAGGCGTTGGCTCCAGCCACATGCCCTCCACGATTCTCTCGCCCGCCGCCCTGGCGGCCAGCGGACATGTGCCCATACGGCCAACGCCGTTCAGCGCCCTGGCCGCCGCAGCCGTCGCTTGGGGCGGCATGGGCGGCGGAGTGCCATGGCCGGGCGCACGGCAAATGCCGCCCTTCGGGCCACCGGGTCTGTTTCCAGGACAAGGATTTGGTGGAGGTAAGTGTCAATTGAACAAGAAATAAATAGATAAATAAAATATATATATATATATTTTTAAACATAAAGTTAAGATCGGATATTCACGGAAACGCAGAGAATTGCTCAAACAGTGTTTTAGATAGGAAAAAGTTGATATGATTGATATCTATATTCTATAGAAAAAAAAATTGAGATTGTCAGAAGAGAAAAATTCCAGTTATATTAGGGCCGTCTTTAGAAGCGGAGAGAATCATCGTTCTCGTTCTTTTGATATGAAAAAAGTAATATGTTTTATATCTCTAATCTAAAGAAAAAAATTTTTTTTGAAATTTATTTAAATATAAATTTAAGATTTTCGAAAGAGAAAACTTTAAATTTTATTTAAGCTTCTTCATGAAAATGCAGAGAATTCTTCAAGCAGTTCTTCAGATAAGAAAAATATGTTTTAAGCGTAGCACGCGCCTGACAGGTGCTAATTATATTGTACCTTGTTTTGCATTGTATCTGTAATCTATGGAGATAATCGAGAGCTGTTGCTTGGCTCAATTGAACACTCGCTTTAGATATATTCATCATCCTAGTTAATATTTGGTATTGATAGTTGTCAGCTGACTCCATTTTGTCTCTGTCCGTTCTCTCTCTCTCTCTCTCTCTCTCGCTCTCCCTGTGTGTGTGTGCGCACATAGTTTAATTGAATTAAACCGACTCGCGCCTTAATTGGCACCAACGACAATGGCTGCCAATGGGTGCCATCGATGCTGCGGGCGCTGCACTCTCCTCCCTCTCCCCCCTGCTGCTGCTGCCTCGTCTGCTGTCTGGTAGTCAAAGTGCGTGGCAATTATTCTCTCGCTGTAAATGAAACAATGAAATGTTTTTGATTGCGCTGACCATTTACTCGTATCGTCCACAAAATTATTATTATCATATATTACTGTTGTTGTTGTTGTTGTCGCTGTTGTTGTTGTTGTTGCTGTTGCTGTTGTCGCGTCGGTTTTGATTTAACTCAATTGGCTCGTCTGCTTATTCATTGCATTGGCGTTGTCACTTTTGGTTTTTGTTTTATTATAATTTTCTTTTTTGTGTATTATTTATTTACATTTTGTGTGCGTGTGTGTGTGTGTGCTTTCCGGTGCATGTCAGCCCCCCAGGCACAAGTCGCACATATAGCCCAGATATTTTTTTATGTATATAGTTAGATAGGGAACTGAACTGTCTGTCCCGACTAATTGAAGCGAGTCTGGCAAAGGCTGGGCCGATTTGTATCTGCATGCACAGTTCACACTTTTCTTGCATTTTCCGGCATCAGACAAAAAGTGGCCAGGCGCTGGCAACACTTGCAACACTTGCAACGCCATTGGTCACACCTTGCTGCAGTCCAGCGCCAGCAGCCAGGACACAAAAACTCCGACGGCTGACAGACATGTGAACTTTACACGCTGGGGGCAAAAAGAAAAAAAAAACGAAAAGAAAAGAAAAGAAAAACCCAACGCGAACTTTGCATTTCCGCTCCGCAATAACAATAACAGGCAGCAGTTTTTTGCCTCCTGCTGCATTGTTTTATAAACCTGTCAAGGGGGCAGACGCCCAGGAGAGGCGCCACATTCAGGTTTTCATATAGGGTTTTCTTTGCTCAATTTTTGTTTTTTTCGTTTGTTTTAGCGTAAGCTTCTGGGGCTCAGCACAAATTACTTCAATAACAATTACCATATGAATGCAGCTGCCTTAAAAAACCTCTTACAATGAGTATTTAAGGCTATGGAGCAAAAATTAGAAATCATTAGAGTAAATTAACCAAGAAATTAAAGCACTTTTCATGTGCTCGACAACTGTTTCCCAGCCAGTTATATAACAGGCGTAACACTAAAAGAATTCACACACACACACACACACAAACTCTGAGAGCTGTAATAAAATGAAAAAACAACTTTTCAAAATGAATTTCATAATGCTTGAAATAAAACTTTATATGCATAATAATATTTAAATGAACTCGAGTCTGATTGGAGCCGCTAAAAATTGATTTAAATTTAGTCATCACATTTATTATGAAAATAAACTAAAATAATTCTATAAAATGTTTTTAATGCTGGAGAGACTTTTATACAATTCAGTTGATTAGTTCATGATTATTCAATATTTATTTTATTTAATTTTTTTTTGTCAAGTTTTTCAAACATTTTATAAATATTTTGAATTAATAATTAAATTTAGTTTATATTATATAAATGATTTAAAAGATTTTCTATGACTCTTGGACCGTTCTCTTAAATATTTTATTGTAATTACATTTATTTTTTCTTGAACTCTTAGACCTTATGCCAATCCGCTATCCACACTCGACTCAAATTGTCTGTAAACTGACAGGCGACAACAGCAACAACAACAATAAGAATAATATAAACCAAAAAAGAAAACAAATTTATTTCAAACATTTGCCGCTTATTTTGTCATTTGCTGTCAACTGTAGCACACATACGCACACACACACACACATACACACTTCAGTCTTGTACAACTTTATTTCGTTTCATTTTAGCAGCTGTTTTTATTTTCCTGACTTCGACCCATCCTCAGCAGGTCTCATTAGCGCAGCAGGTTGTAGCCTTTGTTAGTCCTCTCTCTCTCTCTCTCTCTGTCTTTCTCTCTCACTCTCTCTCTCCCTCTCTCTCTCCACTCCCTATGTCTTATTGTCGACGATTCGTGTGACCTGTGCCGCTATCTGTCGCCGCATTATGTCAAGTGTTAGGTACTTAGTGCCTTAGGGCCAGGTCGAACGGTAGCCATCTCCGGCTGCTTTGGCAGCGGGCTTTAT